ATAAATTCATAAAGTAGCAAGGTACAAAATAAATATATAGAAATCAGTTGCATTTTTGTAAACCAGTAATGAGTTAAAAGAAAGACAACTAAAAACAATCTCAATTACAATTGCATAAAAAAGACGTATTCAATAGAAAGAAATCTAAACAAGAGTATAAAAAAAAACGTACTTGGAAAGTTATAAAACATTGAAGAAAAAAATTTAAGAAGCCACATATAGTTAAAATGTTCACACTATCTAAGGAAACCCATAGACTCAACACAATTCCTATCAAAACACAAATGGCATTTTTTTCACAGAAATAACACAAATAATCCAAATATTTACATGGAATTACAATATCCCCTGAATGGCCACAACAACCTTGAGAAAGGATGGCAAAGTTGGAAGTATCACAATACCTAATATCAAGTTACACTACAAGCTACACTACATGTGCTCTATTCTAGGAAGTGTTCAATGTGCACTAGAAAAGAATGTACATTCTGATATTTTAAGATTAAATTCTCTTGAAATAGCATTTAAATTCAACTGCTCTACTGTATCATTTAAGGCCGCCATTTCCTTGTTGTTTTCCTCTCTGTAAGATATATCCATTGATTTCAATGCTGTGTTAAAGTTCCCTACTGTGATTGAATTACTGTTGATTTCTCCCTTTATGTCCATCAAGAAAACATCCTGGTGCTGGTATTAAAATAACAAACAAACAAACAACAACAACAACAAAAACAGACTCATACATCAATGAAACATAACAGAAAGCCCCGAAGTACATATTAATTGACCCATGCCTATATGGTCAATTAATATATGACAAAAGAAGCAATAACATACAATGGGGGTAAATAGTCTATTCAATAAATGGTGTTGGGAAATTTGAACAAATAAATGCAAAAAATAAATAAAACATATCCACCATCTGACATAATATACAAAAATAAACTCAAAATGTGTTAGTTAAAATGTAAGACTTGAAACCATTAAATTTCTAAAAAAAAACATAAGTAACAATTTTTTTTTCTTATATATCTCCTTGGTCAAAGATAACAAAGGACAAATAAACAAATGGGACTATATCAAAGTAAAACGTTTTACAGCAAAAGAAGCCATAAGAAAAAGGAAAAGACAACCTGCTGAATAGGAGAACATATGCAGCATGATGCATCTGATAACTGGTTAATAACTAAATTTGTTAAAAATATATACAACTCGCCGGGACCGGTTTGGCTCAATGGATAGAGCGTCGGCTTGGGGACTGAAGGGTCCCGGGTTCGATTCCGGTCAAGGGCATGTACCTTGGTTGCGGGCACATCCCCAGTGGGGGGTGTGCAAGAGGCAGCTGATCGATGACTCTCTCTCATCGATGTTTCTAACTCTCTATCTCTCTCCCTTCCTCTCTGTACAAAATCAATAAAATATATTAAAAAAAAAAAAAAAAAAAAAATATATATATACAACTCAATGCCAAAACACCTACAAATAATCCACTAAGAAATGGGCAAAGGATCTGAATAGACATATACAGATGGCAAGTAGATAAATGAAAAGATGCTCGACATCAATAATCACCAGAGAATGCAAATTAAAATGAAGGCACTTGACCAGCCAGTGCTGCTCAGTGGTTGAGCATCAACCTATGAACCTAGAGGTCATCAACCTATGAACCTGGTCAGGGAACATACAAGAATCACCAATGAATGCATAAATAAGTGCATGAATGTGTCTCTCTCTCTATAAAAATGAAATTTAAAAATATTCAATGAGATGTCACTTCACTCCTGTCAGAATGGTAATCATCCATAAATCAACAAACAAGAAATGTTTGCTGGTGGTCTTTCTTGGCATCTGCAAGGGGTTCAGGAATATGGAGAAGGCACTGTGTGTAAATTAATCAAGAGTCCAGAGATGAAACATAATTTGGGGAGGCATTTGGAGGACCAGAGGAGCTTGGCCAAAGAAACCAAGTTCTCCTATCTCTCCAGACTTATTGCTTTTCCTAAATCAAGGTAGATATACACATCAAAGTTTAAGGTTTGGTATACAGAATCCATTGTCAGATTGGAGGAACTGCCTAAAGCTGTTCAAGTGTTTGTCCAGTAGGAGGCAATAACATGTAGGTTGAAATGCCCTCAGCTGTGGTTATGAGTCTGTTGGGAAGGGACAATGAAGAATTATTGTTTAACGGATACAGTTTCTCTAGAATGATTTTTTTTTAAAGTTCTAAAAATAAATTGTGGTGATAGTTAAAAATAAATAAATAAACAAACAAACAAACAAACAAACAAACAAACAAACAAATAAATAAAGCAAGCATCCTTTTCAGGTTTGGGGAAATGCCCTCAGCCATTTCCAGATGATTCAGCCCTGCTGATATGTTGGAATTGGCTTCCAGCAAGTGTTGTTGAGGATGTGGAGAAATGGGAACCCTCATGCACAGTTGGTGGGAATGCAGATTGGTTTAGCGGCTATGGAGAATATGGAGATTCCTCCAAAAATAAAAAATAGAACTGCCTTATGACCCAGAAATTCCATCTCTGGCTACATCGCCAAAGAAACCCAAAACACTAATTTGAAAGTATACATGCACCCCTATATTTACTGCATCGTTATTTGAAATAGCCAATGTAAAACAGTCAAAGACAAATACCATATGATTTCATTTATATGTGGAATTAAATAACTAAATAAACAAACAAATAATATAGAAATAGACTCATAGGTACAGAGAACAGACTGATAGTTGTCAGAGGGGGGAGGTTTGGTTGGCTCAGTAATAGATTAAGAAGTACTAATTGGTAGATACAAAATAGTCATGGGGATATGAAGTACAGAATGGAGAATATAATCAATAATATTATAATAACTATGTATGGTGCTAGGTGGGCACTTGAAACATTTGTAGGATCACTTTTTAAAGTATATGACTATTTAACCACTATGTTGTTTTAATTAATACAAAATAATATTGAATGTAAAAAATCATATATATGTTATTTACATATATATACATAAAATATATGACTTACATATATATATACATAAAGTATATGACTATTTAACCACTATGCTGTTTTAATTAATACAAAATAATATTGAATGTAAAAAAATCATATATATGTTATTTATATATATATATATACTAGGCTTACATACATATGTTAGGCATATATATATATATACACATATACTAGGCTTTGATAGAGGATAATGGATGGAAGACGGAGTTGGAATAGATGTGGTGAAGACCTCAAGTAGAGGGTTTGCTGTGGAAAGAAGAATGACACGTCTTACTTTAATCCAAGAGGTAATGGGTAAAGAAAAGTTAAGGCAGAGAAGGTGGTTAGTAGAATTCACCTTGATCTTCTTAGATAAGGAGAAGATGAATAACTGATTTAGGAATAGGACAAAAATGAGCAAATTTATTTGCATACGGCATGGGTACAAGAAGTGGATGTCACAGAGCATAAAACTAACATGGGGTAATGCATATCTGTATTTTTTTTTTTTTTTTTTGTGAGAAGAGAGAGCTCGGTAGTCCAAGAGCATGAGGAAAGACACGGTCTGTAAGGCTATCCCAGAACTGAGAAACAGCACAGTGGTTGAGGGAGAGAGATGAGGGGCTGAGAACTATATTAGGTAGATATAAAACAGGGGACCAGATTCATGGGATACAGTTTAAGTAGAGAAGGAGGCAGGTAAAAAAAAAAAATTGAAGTGAAAGAAGCTTGGCTCAGCAAGCAGAAAAGGTGAAAGGTTCAAGTAATTTCTTTGAGCCTAAGTTCCTCATCTGTAAGTAGGGGAAATCATGTGCATTGCTTTATTGTCTATAAGCATGGACTATGATAAGAAATACACAGATTGATTGGTTGTGATCAAGTTCCTGACCAGATGGGCTAGGAACTAACTTACAGAAAGGTGAAAATTACAACTTGTTTCTCCTTAAAGTAGACATTCTTGGACTTTCTGGACATTCCCTGCTCTCTCTGCTTGACCAGATTGTAAACTCTCATAGAACTGGGCCAGTATTCATATAATAATCTCAGAATGAGACAATTCTTGTTTCTCAAAAAATTAACAGACCAAATCGTACAGCATGCACATTGTCATTACAACTCAACTTGGAAAACAAATCCTTTCAGTCAAATGCAGGAGTCTCAAACTAACATAAGTCTGCTAATACAATTGGTGAGATCCAGTTTGATGACATTCCTTATATAAAACTATCCTCAGAGGATAGTGATTTTTAGGAGGTTCTGAGGAAATTTCCCTAAAAGCAGTTTGTTCCCAAAATGTTTTGATGGGGAAACACATCGTTCCTTCTAAAGAATCTCTTGGAAGGAAGCAAGAGTCACTTAGATATATCATTGCTGGGCTGTTCATTTAAACCCCTGTCCCTACTATATATATATTTCAGAAAGGAAGGAAGAGGGAGAGAGAGATAGAAATATCAGTGATGAAAGAGAATCACTGACTGACTGTCCCCTGCATGCCCTCTACTGGGGATGGAGCCCACATCCTGGGCATGTACCCTTGACTGTAATCGAGCCTGGGACCCTTTAATTTGTAGATCAATATTCTATCCACTGAGCCAAACCAACTAGGGCCCTATAGTCTTTATGTACACAGGTTGTAGTACTCCTGGGATAATGCTGTAAGAAATAATCTTGATTAACCAGACTTAGTCTTCATTGCCACCTGAACTATAGAACTTATAGTTGGCTTTTGCAAAAAGGTAGGAAAATTAAAGAAACTACATATCTAGCAAATGTCACTTTTTCCTTTACCATCTTCATCTACTTAACCTACAGCAGGACAAGTATTATCTCCTGTCCTATTTTCCCAAGTCCAAAATTTTTCTTTCTTTGTGATTTTACAACCCAATACCCCTCCCCCTCGCACACATCAATCTCTCTTCTCTGGAATAAAGACATTCTACTGAGGTATACCTAGAATCAGATTGTCCATGGATATGCTCACCAGGAGAGAGGGTTGCTCACCTTTGACCACAAACTTCACAATGTTGCTGCGTTGCTCAGAGCCTACCCGGCCCTTAGCAGTACAGAAATAGGAGCCTGAATTATCCAACAATGCAGGCTTGAAAAGTAAGGTACTCAAGGTTGTTACTATGATAGGTTCTGAGTTGTTTGTCTGTTCCTTGTACCAAACATAACTGATGGGAGGAGAACCCTGAGCCTGGCATTGAAGGCTAATGCTCTTTCCCTGGAGCACTGTGAAGCCATAGCCATTGCCAGTTGTCACTGTGGGCTTGGAAACAGGGACTGCAAAGGGAAGACAAAAGAAGAGGTTATGGTAAATTACAAGAATATGGGAACACAAAGCTGAAACATATTTTCCGAATATAGGGATATGTACATATCTACAAAGGGAACTAAAAGGAGTATATAGGACAATGTAAATAAAAATACCTTACTTTAGAAGATTAGGTACTGTTTTGTATTATCTGGGTTTTGGACTACCTGGAGTTAAAAATCAACTGACTGTAAAAAAGATAATATAGCTTTTTTTAAGCTCGAGTAGTTTTGGGATTGTTTAGCTTTTGAATTACAGGAGATATATGTATAATTGTCAAGTCAACAAAACTCAACTAAGCTGGCCCTTGCATCCCTGTCCCCAGAGCTTCTATGTCAGCATCAATTCAATATCCAATATCCTGATCAGATATCCTCATTTTTATGAATTTTAAGACTCAGAGCCCAAAGAGGACAAAAAGTGTTGATGCAAGAATTTCTATGACGCTCAAGAGATAGAGATTTGAAGGCCAAAGACCCTTCCCAAGATTTTTAAAATTATGCCATGAAAGTGTCCCTGAGGATACTTTGCCTATACACTTACTCTGATGAGCACAAATGTCTCTGGGTTTCTCAAGGTTTTCTAGGATTATAGTCTTTTATTGAATCTTTGCCAATAAGTACTTTCCTATCCCCACAGTGACTCACGTTTCTGGACGCGAAGCTCAATGATCTTATCTCTCACCACTTGGTTGCCATTAGGAGTCTGCCAAGTGACTTCACAAGTGTAGTGGCTCCGGTCATCCATCTCCAGGGTCTTCAGTTGGAGGGACACATCTCCTAGAACCTCGTGGTTAATGTGCAAGCGGCCCCGGTACTTTGCTTGCTGGATATGATCTCCAGAGGAGTCACGTAGGAAGATGGTGATTGGATCTGAGTCACGTCGTACCAGCCACTTTACCAAGACTTGGGTGTGGCCTTTCAGAGGAGCAAAGGTGCAAGGAATATTCACATCCCCTTTCCAAGGCCCTGTCACACTCTCAGGAGCTTCAAGGATGGGATAGCCTGAAGATGGGCAACAGAGGAAGAATACAGATATAGATGGCACACCCACCTGGGAGATAGGGTGGCTCTTCTCCACTAATCTTCCTCCAGCTCTACCAAATCTCCCTCCCCTTTTCCTAAAATTATTCTCATACTCCCCTCCTGTGGAACAAAGCATAATTCTGCTCTGAGGACATCTGGAGCAGCTGAAAATGCCTTTGCTACATGTTTGTATGTTTTCCTTCTAACCTCGAGGGAACTGCGAGGCCTGGCTCATGTTATCCTCTTTGGGAACTTGCTGGGGATTCTCACATAGATCACTCTGTCAAGAACATGGAAAGCCAGTCCCAATTTCCCAATCTTGGAAGTCATTTTTAGTATTGGGTCAAACATGACTTTTCCATCTCAGAATAGAGTTATGGGACAGAGTTAGTAATCAGACTTCTAATAATCTCATGTTATTCCAATTTTACTTTTTTTATTCCCCTCTCCTTTCTTCTACCCATCCTTTCATTTTTATCTTTTTTGTGTTCTTTTCTCCTCTTCTTCCTATTTATTCAATAGTAGAACAAAGGTAAAGTATATGGTAGGCACAGGGCATCACAGGAAAAGTAACATTATACTATTCCTCTTGTTCTTTTATTTACAGAGTGAATGTAACCTCAATAGCATTAACTTATACATTACAACAATCCCTATTATACAAAAAAAAAAAAAAAAACAACCCTAAAAAACATTGAATAGAAGTACCTAGTAAATTCAGGAGAGGAGTGAAAGGCTGCATGGTGAGTAAGAATAATAACACCAATATAAATCCAAGGTCTGCTCTACCATATATTTTGCAGTGTGACCATGGGTAAATTGCTAAACCTGTCTGAGCTTTATCAATAAAATGGAGGTGATAATAAACAGAAGGTTACTATGAAGATAAAATGAGCTCATAGGTGTTAAATAACCTAGCATAGTGGTTGGCATTCAGTAGGTGTTGGATAAATGCCAGTCCTGTCCCATGCTTCAAGGGAAACTTCTCATATTTGTCTTGATTCTTCTTATCCTATAGAAGTCTTCACTATGTTTTCTCTAAGGTGGACAGATCAATTAGATTGGATCAGAGTAAGCTTTAATAATGACCTAAAAGAGAACTTAAGGCATGAGCAGGCAAGGAAGTCACCCTTCACAGCCTGATGGAACCCACCAAATTATGGGCAGGTAATAGGCCATCCCTGGTTTATAGGGTAGCCAAAAAGTGTACAGTAGCCTTTGCCTCCAAAAACAAGGCTGGCATGGAAGTCAATGTGAAATGTTGGCCAAATTAAGCAATACTCCTCGCTTTCCTGGAAGATTGGTTAGGGAAAATCTATTTCAGGAAAGCATCAACACTTGAGTGGATGCTCTACACATTATGGAACCATGAAAACCACCAAATAGTTAGGGACCTAGTACAACAGGTCTTGGGGTGCTGAAGGCAAATTCTAGCAGGTCATAATTATGCAAGAAGTTCATCAGAAGTCTGATGGACCTTGGGGCTTCAGCAGGGTTGAAAATCTGCATATTATTACCTGCTGCTGAACAGCTGTAACCATTTCCCCTAACCTGATAATCTTTTCCTGTTAATGAAACCTTCCCTTTGATATGTATATCTGCTTTCCTAAAGGGCCACTGTGTTTTCCAGTAAATAAAAAGCTGTGGGTCTAGAGATTCGGGGAACTTAGTCACTAGATCTAAGTTTTCATCTGGCTCCCCAAAATGCCTTCCAAATTTATATTTCTTGTATAGTCTCTATTAATTTATGTGCAGCCCTTCTCCAGATTCCTGAATCCTTGCAGCAAAAAGACTGCAGCATTGGAGGACTGGGCAAGATAGTATTTTGGAGATTTCTAGAATTGCATAGATTTACGGGCTTTTAGAAACCACTTAGTCACATTCACTAATGGTATATATGGGCAAGGCTAAGGCTCAGAGAAAGATCATTATCCAAAGATACATACATAGCAGGAACAGATCTTGGCCTCTAGGCATAAAATAAAGGCTTTCAGAAGCTACTACCTTCTTACCTTCTTACTAACTTATTAAACTTACTGAGTGGTTTCTGGCTTCAGTTGAGGCTAAAGCCAGCAATCCCCTTACTTGGGCCTACTTGGCATGGCTTAAAGGGATATTATCTTATCCTTGGATAATATTCCCTGACTGCCTGGAAAATAATTCTCCCATCTGTTGGCTACTTTCTAAAAAATCTTTTCCAAGAACTTTAGAGCCTTGCTTTTTTCCCTCAGGAAAGAACTTAAGTTTATTCAAATATTAGCTCCCTTCAAGAGAAATACCAGGGATGATCATTGACTCAAAAGGCTTTGTTGGAAAAGGGTTTAACTTTAGAAAGAGGGAAGAATACAGGGGCCCATTCTAGTCCAGGAACTGGACTTAGGGGGAAAAAAGTCTGGGGCCTGTGTAATGTTACTAAATAAAAAAAAAAGACTTAGTTTTCTGGGTGTGGACCCCTTTACAGAACTTGGTCTAGATCCCTTTTTGAATCTTTTTCCTCCTACCATTACACAGAGGGTGAGATCTTCCCATGACCCCACATTCCTGTGTCTGGCCACTCTTCCTCTTTTGTGCTGCCTCCTAGATAGATTATTAACTTATATAATAAATGTTTATAAAATATTATAATATTCATAAAATGAAAATATTATTATTTATTTTTATTATGATTATTTCAACATATGCTTTAAGCTTAACAGCTGATTTGGGCTCCTAGAGGCTTTTCAGAAGTGAAGCCAAATAGTCTAAAGAGCTGTCCAGTTAGCAGGGCCCTTTGAGGCCAGCTAACATGATCCCCTCACTGTACAAATGATCTGGGTACACTAAGATCCATGGAGAGGAAGGCATTCTTGGTCGTTCAGTATGTCCTGAATCTCAGGTCTTTTTTATTTGTTTATTTATTTATTATTGTTCTTATTTTTTTTTCCATTGTTTGTTTTTTGTGAAGACCTTTTTCAGGTCTTACAGTGTAAAATCCTACACTCAAATGAAAGCCCTGCTTCAGGTTTGGAGAACCTCAGAGTTTGGGAATGATGTAATAAACATATGAGCTCTCACGTGCATGTCCACACATGATTTAAATTTAACATTTATAAAATAGTTCTATGAGCCCAGCCCTGCCTTTATAAGTCCCACCTCAAACCAACACATTTGAAGAAAGATAGGGAAGTGCACTGTAAAAGGTTTTAGAAAATGAAAATATTGTAGCTCTAGAAATAACACTATTTTTAGGAGCATTAATTATGCCACCAATGCTTTTCCCATTTAGGTGACTTAATTCTAGCTTGAAGTTCTAGAATTTGATGGATCATAGAGCCCCAAGATAGGATATCCTTAATTGAGTCAGCTATGGTAAGCTGGATTCTTTCTGACCATACAAAGGACACAAAACTAATACCATCCAATCTCTATATCTAAAAATATGAAAGATAAAATAAAATAAAATAAAATAAAATAAAATAAAATAAAATAAAATAAAATAAAATAAAATATGAAAGAAACAGGGTGCAGCAAGAATCCCTTTGATTTATCATAGGTTGCATTTAGTTATTATTCAGTCTTATTTTCTTAACAGACTATCTCAGTTCTCACGGATATAAAGATGGAAGAAGACCCAAGGAAGTAATGTTACTAAGGTCAAACCTCTTTTGGAATATGTGTCCAACATTAATTTTCCACTATTACCCCAGACACTCTCAGCCATGTTGACAGGGAAGGGAATTACCCAAGAAGATTGTAAGAAAGTAAGTTATGTGAAGACAACTTGAAGGATGTGGGGCTGTTTATCTTGAATAAGAGATGGGCCAAGGGGACATGATATCTCTTCTCAGTAATGTTAAGGGCTGTCACAGTATAGAGGAAACAGATCTGATCTGTGTATATCCAAGAAGCAGCGCTAGGACATTGGAGAGAAGTCACTGGAAAGTGCTTTTAGTTCAATATCAGGAATAACTTTCTAACAGTTGGAGATTCCTCTGAATAAAATAGATGGCCTGGAAAAGTAGTGAACTAGCAGTCACTGGAAGTGTGTGATCAGATAACAGTGAAGGATAAATTGAGGTTACTTTTTAAGATCCTATCTACCTCTTCAACAACATTCCTTCTTTGGGAGGTATGTGTATTAACAGGGATCAAAGCCTGAAGTTATAATGGTAGAATTTCAATTGAAAGATAAAAGATGGTGGAGGAATTTGGGAAGCATTGCGTACCTTTTGAATGCCCCAGAGATAAAAACAAGAGCCATAAAAGTATTTGGATACTTTCCAAGAAAGGATCCTTTTCCATTTCTATGAAAACTTACCTCCTGGATCCTTCACCACCCTTCAACTACCTCCCTCTCTTCTGACCAAAGCTGAGAGAGTCTGTAGTACTGGCTGAGAAACTCCTGCTCAGCAGAAATAGGCTTTCCTCAGTAGGCATTCAATCCCACCCCCCACACCCCAGTCTTTTGCCTGTGCCACTAGTGGCATCCAGGCGACAATTTTCTGCCTTACCATAGGTGACCATCATTAGGTGGCCCAGGAACAACAGGCCCAGCAAGAGCCCCATCACAGCCAGTGCCACTTCTGTCCTTTCTTCCTGCCTCCTGCTATCAAAGAGGTTCGAACTCCTGATGGCTGCCAGTGTCTATGCCTGATCACTTCCCTTCCTTCCTCATATCTCTCACTTAACTTCCAGTCTCATCTCACATTTCCCTTCCTTCCCTATTTCAGCACAAGTCATATGAGCATTTCCCTCCCTTTCTTGCCTGGGGTTGGAGGTTTCATGGTGAGTGAAGCAACTTCTCTCCCTGCTAGGTTATTGACTTGACTTCTCTGGAGCCAATAGGACCCTCTGACCTTAAAGTTCACAGGATGTGTTTATTCTGGGTTTCTTCCACAAAACTTAGATATTGGTGGATGAGTATGCTTCCTCTAGCATGGGGGCATTTACCTTTCTGGTGGGCCTAAGGAAAAGAGATCAATTTTGCTGGCCAGTGTAATATTCAGCATCATGCTGTTAACTCCTGCTTGCTCAGCTAGATAAGAATATCATGGAGAAATATACCCCCATTAATACACTGAGTGGCCAGATTATTATGATCTCTGAATGCATAATAATTTGGCCACTCAGTGTGTGTGTGTGTGTGTGTGTGTGTGTGTGTGTGTGTGTGTATGTGTGTGTGTATTAGAGGCCTGGTGCATGAATTTGTGCATGGGTGGGGTCTGTCCAGCCTGGCCAGGGGGAGGGGACATGGGCGGTTGGCTGGCCTGCATACTGGTTGAACTCCTGGTCAAGGGGACAATTTGCATATTAGCCTTTTATTATATAGGATATACACTGGTGGCCAGATTATTATGTGTTTAGAGATCATAATAATCTGGCCACTCAGTGTACAGTTTACATTCAATATTATTTTCTATTATTTTCAGGTGTACAGCATAATGGTTAGACTGTCATAAGCTTTAAAAGTGCTCTCCTAATATTCCCAGTACCCACTTCACATCATATGTAGTTATTACATTACTAGAGGCCCAGTGCATGAAAATTCATGCATTGAAGGGGGGTTACTCAGCCTAGCCTGCCCCCTCTCAGAGTCCAGGAGCCCTCAAGGGCGGGAGACAATCTGGCAATCAAGAGAAGGCAACGCCCCATCACACCTCTGCTGCTGCCACTTCTGGCAGCACAAGCCTCGTTGACCCTGGTTACCTGAGCCTTGGGTGGCCCTGGGTGGTTGGGCAGCCACCATCAAGGCTTGCTTGTGCCTTGGGAGGACTCTGGAGGCATGTGTGTGGAGCAGCAAGGCCCACCTGGAGCAGGCCCGGCTTTGCTGAGTGTCTGCTACCCCGGAGGGGCTGAGGGGACTGGGCACTGCCATCTTGTGGCTGTGGGGGCCACCATATTTGAAGGCGGGGAAGTCAATTAGCATATCCCCTCCTTATTGGCTGTGGGTGCTGCCATCTTTGAGGGCAAGGCAGTCAATTAACATATTCCCTCCTTATTGGCTGTGGGGGCCGCCATATTTGCAACAGCATGAGGGTTAATTAGCATATTCCCTCTTTATTAGATAGGATTATTGACTATATTCCCTCTGGTGTACTTTTCATCTCTGTGACTATTTTATAACTCCAATTTATGCTTTTAAATCCCTTTTTTCACCCAATCCCTCAACCTTCCTCTTCTCTGGCAACCATCAGTTTGTTCTCTATATTTATGAGTTTATTTTGTTTGATTATTTTGTTCTTTAGATTCTACAAATAAGTGAAATTATATTTGTCTTTCCCTGAATTATTTCACTTAGCACAATAACCTTTATGAATCACTTTTTCTTACAGCTCCATCTCTTTGGTGGGAAGGATTCATATTAGTGCTCATAAGGGATCTTTTATTTATTTTTAAGGAAAAATTAAGTCTATTAGGTTGAATTTTTCAATGACTTTCCATTGATACAGATCCCTGACTGCAAGAAAATGACAGTAAGCCTCCCAGGAAGCTTAATTGCTTCTCTATAGGCTCTATAGTTATTGTAAGTCTACCAGCACTCTACATCTATGTTTGGCACTGCCCACAATCTACTAAGCTTAGAAAGTAAAACATGTATAAAGGAGAAATTCATTCAACAAATTCATACTGACTTATGAATAACATATAATTTTACCTTTCTTTTTAATTAGAAGAATAACAGACATCTTGATTGGAGGATGGATGAGCTTTGCAACAAGGTGGAGTAATTTCCAGCCAATACCCTACACCATTACCACCATATATCTACACACACAGAGACACACTTTTTCCTCTACATCAGGGATAGGGAACATCTGGCCCATGGGCCATATAAGGCCCAGAAAATTATTTGGTCTGGCCCTGCAAAAGCATTTGAGATGAATTAATCAAATGTTTGACCAAATATGGCAGGCTAATTTTTAAGTTGATAATTTTGTATGGCCTACGAATGATGTTATAAATACCTAAATGGCCCTTGGCATAAAAAAGGTTACACATCCCTGCTCTACATCATGAAGATCTGAAGGCCCATGCCCCATTAATTTGATCTCAGTTTCCCACTGGCCTGGTGGATTTGTAAGTTTAAAACTACCCTCTTGCTTTCTTTTTAGAATCTCTGAGATCCGGAGATAAATAAGTATACAGGGGAAGATATATAGCATTCTTCTGACAAAGACATCCAGTCCTGCAGTGTGTTCCCTGTTGAGCAAGAAGAACACTGAAGGGGAAGTCAGGAAGCACAGAGACAGATCTGGTTCTGTATTTACTTCATTCTGAGACATTGGCCAAGTAAAGTCTTCCTGAACCTCAGCTTCCCTAATTTTAAACTGAGCACTATTAGACTTGATTTTTGTATAGCTTCAAACTTTTAAAAATCAAACTATACATATAACAACTATAGCAATGATAGCTAGTTTTTATTATTTGTTTAAACATATATTGAACATTTTTTATGTGCCAGGCATGGGGCAAAGACACTGAACACAACAATGATTAAGACAAACTCCTTCACGGAGCTCACTGTCTAATACTAAAAGGCTCAGAGTGGTAAATGACTTTTCTAGTGGAATAGGATTAGCTAGATACTTGGAAATGGGGGACTAGAGCTGGAGAGGGGTCAGGGGACAACTAACTCATCATAAGTAAACTAATTTAAGAGCAAGGTTACATACAGAAATATATTATAATATCTGCTGGCAAAAGGTTAAAATAGGGGGATATGGAGACATATGTAATACCTAATCAATAAAGACATTTTTTAAAAAGGTTAAAATGGTTTCCAATTTTTACCACGATTAAATTCCTGTCTTGAAATCAATTAAGTCACTACTTGATGGCATTTCTACACTTTCCCCAAAGGCTTGGGGAATGTCACTGGTCTGCTGATACACAATAACTGAAAGTAGACTGAAATTCAGGTCTAGCATTCAGAATCATATTGAAATTCTTTAATTAAATCCATTAATTTTAATTGTATACCATATTTATGATACTTCTACATGTAGACGTTTGGAAAATAATTCTCCTCTAACCCTCATTTAGAGGAATCTAATAAGTTATAGTTATCACAGAAACTAGAGAATTTGTTACTTTCCATATATACATTATTTGAATTATGCAATGGGGAAGATTTACCTTAGAAATATTTTGTAAGTAATCTAAATGTTATGCAGATATATACAAAGACATCACATTTAGATTCCTGTATACTCCCATCCCCTGTATAATAGCTAATTACAGACATGAACCATGATAAGGCAATTTATTTCATGATCATTAAATGAAGGGGCATAGTCTATGAAGAACTGTCCATTTCAGCTCTGACCATCTGTTATTGTTTTTAAATATTTTTTGGTTTGTTTTTAGTTCCTGATATATATCCTATATAATAAAAGGGTAATATGCAAATCAACCCAACAGCAGAATGACTGGTTGCTATGATCTGCACTGACCACCAGGGGGCAGGCGCTCAACACCAGAAGCCCTGAGCCAATCTCATTGCTGGTGAGTGCAGCAGTGGTGGTGAGAGCCTCTTCCACCTCTGTGGCAGTGCTAAGGATGTCCAACTGACAGCTTAGGCCCATAGGGAGCATGCCTAAGCCATCAGTCAGCCATCCCCTGAGGGATCCCAGACTGCACGGAAGGGAGGTTTTCCCTCATCCTGGCCTGCACCCTCTCCAATCTGGGACCCTTTGGGGGATGTCCAACTAACAGTTCAGGCCCTCCCCTTCTAGCCTGATGGACCCCAACTGCCCTCCCCTGCTGGCCAGTTCACCTCCAACTGCTCTCCCCTGCTGGCTATCTTGTGGTGGCCATCTTGTGGTGGCCATCTTGTGACAACATCATGCGACACTACCTAGGCTTTTATTATATAGGATATGACAGTATTACAGATATCTCCCATCCCCCCTCTTAACCCACTATTTCCAGCCCCAGGTCTTCACCACCCTATTACCCATGTCCATGGACTATGTATATAAGTATACAAGTTCTTTGGTTTATCTCTTCTCATCCCCCATCTCCATATAAAAGTATGCCAGTCTGTGCCATGCTTCCATGCTTCAGGTCTTATTTTGTTAGTCAATTCATTATGTTCATTAGATTCCACAAATAAGGGAGATCATGTAATATTTGTCTTTCTCAGATTGGCTTATTTCATTTAGCATGATACTCTCCAGATCCATCCATGCTGTCCCAAAGGGTAAGATATCCCTATTTTTTTAGCTGCTAGTTTTCCATTGTGCAAATGTCCACATATTTTTTATCCATTCATCTACTGATTGATAATTTGTTTTGTTTTGTTTTTAATATATTTTATTGATTTTGCACAGAGAGGAATTGAGAGAGACAGAGAGTTAGAAATGTCGATGAGAGAGAAACATCGACCAGCTACCTCCTGCACACCTCCCACTGGGGATGTGCCTGCAACCAAGGTACATGCCCTTGACCGGAATCGAACCCGGGACCCCCCAGTCTGCAGGCCGACACTCTATCCACTGAGCCAAACCAGTCCCTGCGACAATTTGTTTTAATGATACCCTTTGTGATGAGGTTATTTAAGTAGGCATGATGTCTATTTCACTGACAAAAAGCAGTGAATAATTATAAAAAGAGTTGTTTTCTAATGTGAAAACCATAATTCTCCAGTAATGTAAGTAGTAAATTGCTCAAAAAACTACTGGC